GTCAATAATTGCCATGTTAGAATCTACATGAGACAAATATCTGAAAATATATAAATAAATTTAATAACTTCAAATGAAAGTTTGGTTCTTAAATATATATATCTACAAAATACTATAAGTCCACAAAGACTTAATATTTTTGTATTTTAAATATAGTAAAGTTAAGTCATTGAGAATAAGGGAAGAACTTTTAGTGCATTTAACCTAATGGGTTAAAAATTTTTATTTTATATATAAATTTCACAAAATAATGCTGGTAAGGAGATCGAGCACATTATATTAAAATATTTTTGGAGCTTCACCACATTGTTACAGTCTATATCGCCACATCCAGTCATGCTCTGTCTGATGGCATGCATCTTGACAATAACTCTGCAGCATAGTTACATTGGAGAAAGCTCCACTGTAAGACTGTCATGTCAAAATCACACCCCTGTTCCCATCATGTTTTCCATAATCTATCTAGAGTATGAGAATGACAGTTGCCTAGTACTTGTTTCAACAGTCTGACTACACACAACTCCATAACATTATATAGGTGACTTGACCAGTATGTTTTCATAAGGAATAGCATATATATCTGTTCCATTGTCCAGATGTCTGAGGTTTGCGACAGTGGATAGGATATGTCAAAGACGCAACTTGTTTACACATGACTTCTGTCATTTTTCCAGAAAGATATCCTTTATGATTATATTGCATACTGTTACCTGGGGCACTTGGATGGGTTTTGCCATTGACCTTTATGTCGAGGATTCTCACCTGTTACACGTTTCCATACTTTGTTTACCATGCCTGAGGTTCAACTTGTTTTTGATCTCCGTCTGGATGGTCCTGGTGCACCAAGTTGATCAATATTCCTTTGTTTTTCCACATTAAATACAAAGGATTTCCCCCAATTTGAATATAACTTTATGATCTCAGTGTATAAATATTTTGAGTCAGAAAGGGCTGTTACATACCCTTCCAAAACCAATCACTTTTCAGTTACATCACACTATCTATAACATGCCAAACAATGTTAAAATGTAGTTCTGATATATTACATTTCACTGGAACTTTATATTAACTGTAACTGTCACGTGAATTGTTGTAATATAATACACTCAGTCCTTCATACTTTTTTTTCAGTAAATTTGCTCCTTTAACATACATGTACTTTATGGCTTCCAACAAGTTATATAACAAAACACAACACCAATACAGAATGATAAGTTGGTAGCATATATAGAAAACACAAAGTAATATTGAAAATATAAAAGAATATGAAACGGTCAAAGATAATTTCTCAAATTTCAAACCAGTGTGAGCTTGTGTTGTAGCATTGTGTTTACTTAGCCATGCTGTAGCAAAACTAAGTAAACACAATGCCATAAAATATTTTACTTTATATTAACCTTTCATTATACAGCTAACAACATTTAGAAAACTATCCATAATATAAAAACCTTTAATGTTTGATGAGAAATGCATAATGAAAGCCATATCCCGTGATCTGATAAACTGTAATTTTATGAAGTAATTAATGAAAATTTGTCATTTTCTTATGTAGCAAGGTACTCATATGAAGGTCATATATGATAATGAGATGAAGCAAAGTTTTAGTAAATCTAAATCCTTGCTTTAAATTGTTCTTTGGTACACAGAAGTAAAACAGAGTTACACTAATTCTCATTAAAAAACTCCAGACAACCAAAAAGTATTTTCAATATTACTAGTCAAAGTAAGAAACATTCATCAATCAGCACATGCAAAGATAGTAACCACCATTGTCAGATATAAAAGACTTTAGTGTGGGTAATATTATTAATTAATCAATTTTGTGTTTTTAATTCATTGATGTTGAGACTATCGAACATTGTGTGCAATCCATTGATATCGAGGCAAAATTTAACAAACATTACTATGTATTTCTACTAATAAGTTAGTTTCCTGACAATTGGCGAGCCACAGCTAGGATTATAGTGGTAAATGGCAGTAGAAGAAAACATGAACGACAGTGGAACTAAATAGGCCTATATACGCATATTTGTAGTAGTAGTGCAAATAGTATGGAGATTATAATCACATTATATAACCATGTCAACAGATTTTGATAAATGGGTAGAAAGAGGAGAGCATCTTAGGTTAAAAGACAATGAACTATGAGAGTTTGTTAAACAACAACAAAAACCAGAGAGAGAGGAGAAGAGACATAGAAGAGAGGAAGAAAGATTGAAAGGAGAGAAGAAAACAAGAGAAAGGAAAGACTGGAAACAGAGAGAGAGAAAGAATAAGAGTACAAAGAGAGAAAAAGATAGAGAGAAGAATACGAGAGAAAGGAAAACTGGAAATAGAGAGAGACAGAATAAGAGCACAATTTGAGAAAGAAGAAAAGAGAGAGAAGAGATTAGAAATAGATAGAATAAGTGCACAAACTGTGATTTCAAAGTTCACCCAACCAAAAGAAGAAGGACCTAAGTGACAATGGAGTCAGAACAGCCTACCCAAGGATGCTTTCCTGGTGATGTATGAAAGATTCACCCAAAGTCAGAACTGAGACAAAGGCAACTGTGCAGTCTGTCTCAGCCCATTTCTCACAGGAAAAGGCCTACAAGTATATGCAGACATGACATCAGAAGATGCTAAGGACTATGACAAATTGAAAGTGGCTTTACTGAAACGATATGAACTTACTGCAGAAGGTTTTTACTGAAAGTTCAGAGAAGTCAAACGTGACACTGGAGAAACTGTATTTCAGTTTGTGGCACCTCTGCGGCAATACTTCACCAGATGGACTGACATGGCCAAGTGTGAAAATAGTTTTGATGGACTGGCAGATCTACTAATACGAGAACAGTTCATGATCACATGTTCAACTGACATGTCACTCTTCCATATTATGTAGGGACTTATAGGCCATGTATATCAAGAAACCATTATATGACTTGGTGATTGGAAACATACCAGGTAGTAGAAATTCAAAGGAAGTACAGAAGAATGACCCTTCACCACAGAAGCTTTGGAACAGTGCCCAAGAGAAAGTCGAGCACAAGATAAAGAGGAAAAAGACTTATAAAATGGAGGACCGGAAAGGAGTTTTGAACCGGACTTATCAAAACAGTTCTACTGGGAAGCCAAACCCAAAAGACAGTCAGAAACACTTCTATAACAAGAAGGCCAAGGGGTTGATATTTCAAGGTCAGACAGAAGGTTTTAGTTCTGCTACCCACAGCCAACAACAGACAGTTGAAAGGACCTTTCACAGTGCTGGAAGTGGTCCACAGAATGCACTATATAGTGAAAGTTGATGTAACAACCATGGTCTATTGTGCCAATCTTTTTTAGAGGAACTTCGAGAGAGATGAAGACGTTATGGGTGCAACTACTGATGTACAGACTTACATGCATGGTGTGGCTGTCATAGAAGCAGAATCTGAAGACAATGACTTTGTTATAGAAGAGAAAGGCCTACTAGTCCTAAGAGCACTGGGTGGAGATGAGACATATATGGATGTCAACATAAGTAAAGAACTGACTAATAAGAAGAAAAAAGAGGAACAAGATCTACTTTGTCAGTAAGTATACAGATAGATTAGCAAAGACGGACCTCAGGCAACACAAAGTCAAGATGAAGAAAAGGGATCCTATCAAGGTGAAACCTTATTGGAGTATCTACATGAGAAGAGACCAACAAAGGAACTGTAAATGTTGGTAAATTTGTCTTTTCAAATGATGTTCTAAGCTAATTGAACCCAGCCTGTGTGGACTTTGATGAAGAAGCTGACAATTATTGGAAGTACAGGATATAACTATGATAATTCATGTGACAGCATAATGAATTATATATGGATACTATTGCAATATATATCATAGAAAAATAGTTCGGCTTGTCAACTGAAATGGCCTAAGTGGACTTTTGACAAGAAGAAAAGAACTGTATAGTGTTTAAGATCATCTAATATATATAATAAAAATATAGTTTGGCTTGTCAATTGAATTTTAAAGCAATTGAATAGGCCTAAGTGGACTTCTGACAAGAAAATGAGAACCATATAGTATTTAAGATACTACTATGATCTCCATAGTGTAAAGAATTTTGTATATACGTTCAGCTTGTTTCGAATATATATATATTATTTTAAAAACAAGTGGAGTGCGTGCTGTTCATTTGTTGTCAAATTTAATGCCAAAACGTCACAGACACCTACTGTAGAAGAATCCTTAGCTCAACACACCTATATCTAACTTACATTACCATATATTTCTACTAAAAAAGTTAGTTTCCTGACAACCATCATAATGAAATTGATGTACGTCTATAGTACCATAAACGTCACAAAATAACAGTGAGAACTAGGTAGAAAATACAGGCAAGTAAAACATTAAAACTTATAAATCCATTGGCAATATTTTTACTAATTATATGCAGTTATTTGGTTTCTTCCAAAAATGAATGTTCAAGTAATCAAAAGTATTTTAAATAAGAAGACTGTAAGAAGAGGAATATATATCTAAAACAATAGGTCAGAATGTTCTTACTTGCATCACCAATATTTGCTGAAATGATCACTGAAAATGCAGTATTAGATTAGATTAACTCATCACATTCAAAAACACGATTTTCAGAAACAAATATTTATCAACTTCTAAAAAGAAATCTCGTTTTGACAATGTTTGAACACTTCAGACACTTAGTTTCATTGTTGTTTATATAGTACTTTTTTGTATAAATTAATTTGATAATTTTTACTGTTCCACAGATTTCACTAAATTCGATTTTTTATTTTGTAACAACAGAGACAATGAACGATTAGTCTTGCTGTCATTATTATGTATATACATAAAAAGGCTATTTCTATTTCTATTAAAATTAAGACAAAGAACAAGTGTTTCGAGTACATCTAACTACATACTTCAAACATATTTGGATTTCCAACAATAGTTTGCTTTTCCCATCATTACCACGTCTTCCTCCATCTCCAACTCGACCTCCTGTAAGAACACAAACAATATCATGCTTCAGCTAGTAAATGACCAGAGAAATGTCTATTTTAGTAAGCTGTTTCAGAAGTAGCAAATCACTCATGTGAAGTTCATAGATGTTTATATAATGAAGAAAAACTTATAAAATCTTAACCTGTCTTAAAATGTTAGTCAACATAAAGAAATCAATAATATAATAAGCCACTTATTCTCAGTAAAAAACAAAAAAGTATTTTCATCATTCTTCTGAAAGCCAATACAAATTGAAAATGTTTAAAGTTATCAGTTATGGAAAACAACCTAGCTACTACTGAAATAAATTACATAAAACTAAGAAATTTTCAATATACTAAAATTTTATAATATTATCATCACCTATTCAGAACCTTTGTAGCAAAATGAATAAACAATTATGGCAGCTAACAAACAAATTTCACTTCAACTTATAATAGCATTGATACTTATCAATACTAAAGTAAAAAAATGTTATACTTGTATACATTCTTACATGTTTTATAATGTATTTAACAGATTATCACTACAATATCTACTGCCATTTTTTGTAACATATTTAAGGGGTGTCTACTTTGTGCATACAACATCTAGTGCTTCATTAAAGCTGTATTCTGAAACATTTATAATATTTTGTGGATTATCCATTGCTGCATTAAAGTCTGAATATTTTATTAGGTATGATACAAATGCATTGTTGTGTAAGTGACATTTTTAAATAACTGAAAACATTAATAGTAGTATGCTTCTGATATATTTACATATTGTCAAAATATAAATTATTTGTGGTCCTAAATCATATTCAATTGTGCCTGTGACTGTTTTACACAATGCCATAAATTCATTAAAGGTAAAGAATGATCAAATCTAATTTTGCTAGTGATATTTTCCAAGAAGTGATCGCTACCCATACTGCCACAGAATTATTGTTTGTTTGAAATAAAATGTTTAATGATCTAACACAAAATGTTTAGTATTAGTAAGTTACACATTTCCACAGAAATGTAGAGGTTTATTGACAAAGCTATTAACATATTTCAGAGTAACATTCCTGAATTCTGACTACACAGTGTAATGTCACTTATACTTATAAATATCTAGATTATTCATTTATATAAAAAAAGATAGCATTTGTGTTCTGTTTGATATAGAATATTTCTATTAAAAATTAATTAATATTGACTTTTGATCAAAACAAGATACCTACATAATTCAAAACTCCACCTTGATTCCCTCTAAATCTTTGATTTGTTTGTTAGTTAAGCACGAAGCTACACAATGGTCTATCTGTACTCTGCCCACCACGATATTGAAACCCGGCTTCAAGCGGTATAAATTTGTTTTGTTTGTTTTAATTTCGCGCAAAGCTACACGAGGGCTATCTACGCTAGCCGTTCCTAATTTAGGAGTGTAAGACTAGAGGGAGGGCAGCTAGTCATCACCA